GTGTAATTCAACTTCGATTAAATGCCTTTTCAAGATCATTGTGGCAATTGATTTTGAATTAGATTTCAATTAAAATCCTATTATATTTCATTCTAGAAATTAGGCATTACTTAAATGGCAATTAATGTCCTTTTCAAAATCATTGTGGAAATTGCTTGTTGTTCAGATTTTAATTTGAGTTCTTTTCAACATAATTTGATTGAATTGCTTGTGTATTGGATATCAATCAAGACCCTTTTAGAATTGATTGTGAAAATTAACTTTCAGTTAATAGTTAATGGTGGAAATCAATTCTTATAATTAGATGTTAGTTAAAGTCCTTTTATTTGATGTAGCCTTGTAGTGGGGAGCAAACAGATACAAAATCAATTCAAGTTAGTTAAGCATCACAATTTCCACAATTGATCTTAAATCGACTTTAAACACAATCTGATATTAAATCAAAGCCACCACTAACTTTGAAAAGGACTTTGACTAAAATCTAATTGTAAGAACTAGTTTCCACAATGAGTTTTAAAGAGAACTTGGAAATGATTTTTATTGCAATCTAATATCTAATAAATAGCAAATTCCACAATCAATGTTAAAAGGATCGTGATTGAAATCTTCTAATTTGAGTTTGCCTAATTCTATTTTAATTCCAGTTTAGTTAGTTTAAGAACACACATGTTACAAAACCCTATATTTTACAGTGTTTTTTGCCCTAGGAGTGCTGGGAATAAGACACAAACTATGTTTTTGAGTAGATAGTATTTGTTTAAAGTAATCTCTTGGAATATTCATTGCTATTTTAAAACTGCTTTATGTACAAACTTCTAATTCAAAAGGTTCCCTCTAGATCTGATCACTTCTGTGAAAAATATAAAGCTTTCATTTCAAAAGCTTTCCTCTGGATCTCTGGAAATAGTCATGGTATTTTAAAAAAGCTATAAGTATGTATGTAAGTGGTTCTTTCAAATGCTTTCCTTCAATGAAAATACACAAATCTAGGAAATCTACTTTCCCAGAGATCCAGAGGAAAGCTATTGAATCTAGAGATGTATAGTATTATATCTTCATTCGCTCATGATGCTACATTCATTGTGGGCAGAGAGAGATTTACATGATAATATTTATCATTGGTGTTGCACATTGATAGTGGGCAGACGAAGAGCTGTTATTTGTTGTCATTGACATTGGACATGGAGACTGGGCACAGACAGATCCAAAAAATTGCGTTTCGCCTAGTCCTCAGAGCAGTTTTTGAAATTTTGCACGGTATTTACAGTGGTTTCTAAGGGTTTTGAGCTAGTGTGTGCTCTCCCAAGCACACCCACCCTCTAGTATAAAGGGTAAGTGGTAGCTTAAGTAGCTACTACGTTGGACGGCTGGACGGCTCAGGAGGCTTCTTCAAGGTCCCTCTGCCTGAGGGCTGGGGGAGCTGCCCCCTTGCACAATTAGATTTTGGGGCAGCTCAAGCTTCAAACTCTTAACAACTTTCATGACTTGCGGCTTTCAGGCCACCATGTCCGCCATTGAAATGTTTGATTGGAGCCTGACGTCAATTGAGGTGGTGGCCCAAAATCACCCCCAGCACCAAATAAACTACAAGTCATAGCTAGGCTCCATCGGTTTCAAGGCTTCTCGAGCATTTGGAAGATGCGCAGCGTCATCTGGCTTGTACATGTAGTGCTGTATGTGGACCTGTTTTTGGACGCAGTGCCTGTTCGTATGAATGATCCATTGGTCTGCGGTGTATTATACTTGTAGAACGTGTATACAAACAAATAAACGGGTATTCGTAAGCAAAATGCACATGACGTGTGGAAGGGAGCATGGTCACAAGATAGACCAGGAAAAAGCTGTAACACTACTAGTAACAAGGGCATCGCTACTAGGAGCAAGAAGCTACTAGTAGCACTAAAGTTGTTGCATTGGTCAACTGTGCGAGCAATCGACGCCACCGTGGGATCTTGGGGCAAAAGCCAGGCTTGCAGCGGCTCACGACCATCTAGTAGCTTCTTGCTCCCAGTAGCGATGCCCTTTGCTACTAGTAGCTTCTTGTTCCTAGTAGTAATGCCAGGAGCTACTACAGTAGTAGCTTCTAATACAGTTGAAAGCATCATCCGCAATATACTTGCCACTGAAGAAGAGCACCAGACACCTCAAACCTCAAAGGTTCGCTGAGCAGAATCTCCTGAAAAACCATACCACCCCTCTGTGACACCCCGCTGGCCATTCTTGCAACTTGCGCTCCACCGCCTCGGTCTTTCATCAATGCTTTTGTGCTCTCTTCATACTCTGAATTGAATTCTGGTACAATTTACCCAGCTTGAATTCCGGTCCATGGTCCATTCAAGCATATTTGAATGTATGCGCATCACTTCGCCACTAGCCATCCAACGAACAGGAAGTCACCTTCCGAGAACGGGCTGCCTTTCAGGATCAAGCCTCGTTCAGAACCTTCTCGCTTAGAGCCTTCTCCATAGCTTGCTTCCGGGCCTGAGATCAGGCTTAAAACGATGCATGGGCACCAGTGCATCTCAAAGGGATCCAGAGAAGCTCTTACCGTACATCCGCAGTTCAAACCACAAGATCCCTTTTTACAACAGTTAATCGCCATCGTCATGAACGGCATGGCCCGACTCTTGCCTGCTGCTCCTCTTTCTCGCGATCTGAAAGGAAGTGCTCCATCCTTGAGGTTGGAAACTGCAACATTAGGTAAGACGACCTGATTCATTCATAAACAATCATAAGCATCTTTATGCAAACCTGGAACAGGAACCACCAAAAAGCGTAATTAACAAAAAGATCAATAATTGACTGGCCATTCTTTCTGTTCCAAACTGTGCTCTGGGATCTTCAACTCGGCTGGCTCGGCTTGGAAATGGTGAGGCTATTGTTTTGGGCAAGTCTCCAAATCGCACAGGTGTAAGATCAAACGACGAGTCGCTATGCACAAGTTGAAGCTTGCATTAGCGATAATCCTGAGAACATTATGTATGCAGTTGCTTTCATCCTACGGCCCTTGCAGCTCTCCCTTGGCTTGCGTTTACGTATCAATTTGCTTTCATGATGAGCTTCCACTGAGATTCGGATTGAAACCTCGTTGAATGCCTCTGGTTTCTGTTCCAAGCAGCCCCTACCACGCCCTACCAGCTGGCTGTGACAGAATACCAAGCCTGCGTGCTTTATCTGCCAGCCTGTGTCAAAGTCCTTCGACACAAGGGGGTTGTCTTTTGTCCAATGTCTTGTTGCGTGCTACGTGGACCATTGTGCGGCTCTTGAAACCGTGTGGCGAATGTACAAACCCAACGTATGACAGAAGGATCTTGACCATGGCAGTCATAAGCCAAACCTGACAGCCAAGAGACTTCTGTGAGAAGAATGAATTTTGTCTAGACTCCATGGCGCCAAGCGGATTTGGGAAACCTCTGGAGCTGTTCTGAATTGAAGGAGCATGCGCCAGCTTCGGTAGCTTAAAGCACAACTTGGTGCTTGTTGTGGGTGCTTCTGTCCAAACAGAGTGCACATGCTTCCAGCAAAGCATATGTTGCCCCGTAAAATGTAATGTGTGAGGGGCAAGTCGAAATTCCCCTGGCTACCATGCAATCATGTGTCTACCTCTACCTGAAAGCCCAAGGCGAGCAGTCTCACAAACAAACACGATCCCATAAAGAAGCCCGCCCACGGCCAAAGGAGTTGAAACTTCATAAGAATGATCTCACACCCACAGGTTTGTGGATTTCAAATCGGTTGAAATCCATTAGCTTACCAAAGCCAGATCATCAATCATGTTTGCAAGATTACATACTTGAGGGGTGAAAGTTGACTCCGCCTGCAGGACACAACGGCTGCGTCCATCCGTCCATCCCTCCGTCCATCCATCCACCCATCCATCCACCCATCCATCCACCCATCAACCCATCCACCCATCCACCCATCAACCCATCCACCCATCCATCCATCTACCTACAAGCGCACTCATGATGCAAATGATGCAAACCATGAACCCATCGCATCATCGTCATCACGAAGATTCCAAAATCAACACTTTTTCACACTCTTCACCATCCTCTTTTCCAATGTTACTTGTGTGACCGTTGCAATGTTTGAGCCTCTCACACCCTCTTATCTCACTTCCTTCGCAAAACTCTCGCCTATTGGCCGGCTTTGATTGGTCGTATTTCCTCTTGGCCATGTCTCATTCTACAGGAACAAGTGCCACGCTGGTAGTAACAGGTGCCTTACTAGTAGTAACAAGAAGCTATTAAATAACTCTCTTTTCTGACCTGTTTTGAAGGGAATGGTGTTCACGGAAGCACATCATTGCATCTAGCCTATTGAATGTCACTCAAGCCCTTGCGACAACGTCTGACACCCTCTCTTCAACTCAGACCTACAAAAAAGGTTCAAAAGCTTCTTGATGACTGCAGTGGTTCCAAAAGAGTGGTGACGTCTTCTCGTCAACCCTTGGGATCATCATGCAGTCTCCAGAACGTCAAATCCAAGCAAACGGACAGCAGCCCTTGGGTGAGCAGTTGCTATCGCATGGTCTCTCCAGCATGCCACATCAACTGTCAAGGGTCGAGAGAATACATTGTCCAGAAACCTGACTGAAATGAATCCTCGTGCCCTGAACTTTGTCCACGAACAAGGGTCCTCCTTTCTTTGAACGTTGCAGAACCCAACCTTTTGAACTGCCAGCTCCTTGCAGCTCATCTTGGCAACGCAGTTGCGTTCCAACCAAGTCCGTTCAGCATTGGCGGGTCGAATTTGATTTCAGCTCCGGAACTATAGAGACTGTTCTGAGCGTCAACCACTTCCGAGTGTGCGAGCAAGTTGGGCAGCAATCGTTTGGGCAACAAAGGATCTATATATATATATATATGCTGTGCAAACTCAAAAAAGGAACAAATTGCATAGTTGCGAAATGGGTCTTACTCGTACATGGTGAGGGAAAATCGAAAATTCAGACTTTGGAGACACTGTGAGATCCCCAGAGAAATCGATCGTTTCAAGCAAGTAGAGAAAGCAGAGGTGGTTTTCAGCTGCAATCGCAAAGCACATCTTCCTTCTATCGTCAGATGTTAGCTGCAGTCAGCGTCTGTTCAATCTGTGCCCTGACCGATGCTTTGACTGCCCACGCTCAGACTTCTGGCCTTTGCCAAATCCCAATGGGAGAACAGCAAGCAATCCCAGATCTTCCCGCTCCAAAGTCTGATTTCTTGGCTCCGTGCATCTTCCGCGTGTCCAAACGTGCCTCTTCCAGCTCGACAAACTGCCTGGCTGAGAGCATTCGGCCACTAAGGCCCAAAGGCCTGAGGCCTAGAGCAGAAAGCAACACATCGAAAAACTATGTGGGGGAGAAAGTGAAGAAAGAGAATGCCGAAGCATGTGTTCCCTGCGAATCAAGCCAACTGTATTGAGGCAGCAGGCCGCCGGCCAAATTCCATGAAACTGCTTGATGGAGTCAAGTGAAAATGACACCCTACGCACCTGACATACTCCAAGCTTTGGGCCTCCGGGGCGGGAGCCTTGCAGTCAGGTGCAGAGGCGTTCATCATTTCGGAAGATGTAGGGAAGCCAGGCAAGCTGGAATATGTATCTGTTTATGTTCCCGCTGGGCATATATTGTCCCAGTGTCCAGCCAGTGGCCCGACCCAGTTAGCAGCAAGCCGGATGATCCTCAACGACGCGCGAATGGCAGAAGGATGGCTCAGAGGGAAACCACTCCTCCGACTTCGTAGGTTCTAGATCACAGATAGATCAAGCAACAGGATTGGCCCTACGTGTCCACCGCCCAAATATCTTCACCTATCAAACAGAGGTTAACCAGCAGTGATCCGTCAAATCCAAAGTGGCTGCCACATTGGCATATATGTATACAATTTGTTGTGCAAATTACAAATGTTTGCTGGGAAATTGAATCACAGATACCCAAGGAACCCTCTACTCATCAGGCTTAGTACCTTTGAACACTGCTGGCATGTGCATTCACTCTGCTGGCACCAGCATCAAGGGCGTAGGGTTTGAAGGAATGTTACCCACAACAGATCTCAATGATTAACACCAAACAACACACACACACACACACTCATGACTCAGCTAGCCACTACAGAGCCTTTCGAGAAGTATGCCCAGCCTGCACTGGAGGCTTTGTGCGAGCACCTTCAGGCTCCAATGCCTAAAGCTGTTGTGTAGATGACGATGTTATGTCCTCCGAATCCATTGTGCGCCGTAATGATTTATCTTTTGCACTTGTTGCTTCCTCGTTTGTGATGATAAAGGTCTGCTCGCAGCTACTAACCAGTTCCCATCAACAATTACTGGGCCTGATTACTTGATCCAATTTCATGCAAACCAGTCAAATTGCCCAGGGTCAGCTTGCCGCAACAGTACAGGCTTTCCAAATGTTGCGCATCATAATCAGCCTTAATGCAGACTCAACCTGCAACGCTGCACTTGGTTCGAGGCAGGAGCAGCTTTTTCTGGAGGTGCTGGTGCCTGGCATGGGATCAAGTCGGGCATCCTGGTGGAAAGCCATCCTGTCGGTTGTACTACTCTTCTTCGTGGAATTGTGAAAGTCGAGAACGTTTCTCCCAAGCCAGCCCTGATCCAGCGCCGCGGCACTTTTTCTGTCATTTCTGACTTGTCTTTGCTCTTCCACGAAAGACCTGCCAAATTCCAAGGCGAACGCGGCGAACCCTGAACCCTACCAACTTGTGGTTGACAAATTCTGGACCCGCCGAAAGCACAGCACGTTTCATTCATTCATCTTCCTTCTGCATGATGCGATGAACCTGTATTCTTTATCGTTTGGTCTTACTGGTAGAGCCGGCCTGCATGATGCCTTCAATGGCTGCCTTCACTCCCTGATTGTACTCTGGGGTCAGTTCCCCTTTGACCTGAAGACGTCATGGGTTTACCAAACTTCCCGGAGTCCTTGATTTAATGTGTTTCTCTAGTAGGTTGGAGGCCATCGCTAGAAAAGGAAGAAAGGTCTAAAATGTTTCTCCATTCCGGACTGAGGTATCCCATGTTTGGAGATGTCAGAGTATCCCCAAGCAAAAGATGAAATGCGAAACAAACGATTGAACCTGAATGGGCACGTGGAGCAAAGCAATTGTCAAAACAATTTTCCAAGTGGCAACAAAGTTCACGGCGTCCGGCATCTTGTCCTGCTGATGAGTGGTCGGTTCAGATGAAGAAGTCATCTTCGAACCACAAAAAACCATTAAGGAGCTAGTGGGGCAGAGAGTCCCAATACTCCACTGGCCTCCAACCTACTAGGGATGGCCTCTAAGGAGCTAGTTGGGGAGAATAGTCCCAACTAACTAATGGTGGTCCCCCAGAGCAGTGGTGCTGAGAGCTGCATGGAGCAGTGAGAAGGGCGCTGGTGACTGCACACCTGTACAGCTTGGGCATGCATACTCTACCTGCAGTGACTTCATCCTTAATTATATAACTATATACAAGGCAGGGTCGGGAGTTCCGAGGGGGCAGAAGTTTCAGCCAATCATTTACCTGCTGGAAGGTGTTGTTTTGGTGTGCCATGTGATGATCTGATATGTGGTGAAGTCATGTCGTGATGTGGTGCGAGATCGATGAATTGCTCTGTGATGCTTGCGATGTGGTGTGTGATTAGATGCCCTTGTTACTACGTAGTAGCTGCTTGTTACTAGTAGCGATGCCCTTTGTTACTAGTAGCTTCTTGTTACTAGTAGTAATGCCAGGAACTACTAGTATCGTCCTTCCTACGAGTAGCGATGCCAGGAGCTGCTAGTAGCTTCGTGTAGTGTGGTGAACTGGGCTGTGAAGTCTAGTGTGACGATTTGTGTTTCAAGTTGTACTGCCGCAACAAATGTCTGTACTGCTTTCTGGAAACTCTCTACCTTTGCACATTCCCGCTAAAAATCTCTACTTCTCTGCACTTGCTCCTACTACTAAATCTCTACTTTTCTGTACTTTTTCTGTACTTGTGTTACTTGTCTCAAGAAATATCTACTTGTCTGAGGCTCAAGTTGTTCTTGAAGCCTCTAATTACATTCTGCATTTGCCTTTAGGAACCTCTACAAGTATGTTTAGCGACGACCTTTTTGTGAATTCTCCACAAATCTCCGCATTGTGTGCTTTTCTCTACCAGCAGCGGAAAGCAATGAGAACATGAAGAGTGTAACGCATAATATATATATATATATATTTGCAAGCTGGAGGGTCTGGTCAAGTTAGCGTCAGGGCCTTCCCTGCGGGTGTGGTGCTGCAGGGCAGCCCGCAGGATTTTCCAGGGGGGTTCAGGTGGCTGCATGTCGGGGAAGAGTAAAAAGAATATGAGGATGCAGGTGTATCTGAGGCAAAACTGAAGAGTCTGGCGTGTCGCAGCAGCAACGAATGACCAAGTTGGGCAATAGCAAACAAGCAAGAGTCATGATGCTGTCAGAGACGCTTCTCATGTTGCATGACCCCTTGCTTTCTGTGCGCTAGCTGTTGTGATGTAGCAAACGCATCATGCCAAGTTTCAATGCACGCATGCGATCCATATCCATGGACTATTCAGGGCTCCTTAGCCCTAGCCCCAGCTGAAACAAGGCAGGAAAAGGGAACATGTTTGTGGTCCCGGAACAAGTGGTTCCTTTAAAGGTGCACCAAGATGATACTAGAGATTGCTGAAGCTCTGCTGAAGCGCCTAAGTTCCCCCCTTGGATTGTCTTGGCCAGTTTTTGGGTGGGATGTGCGGATTACACTGACTTCGGTCAGTCATGGCATCAGATCTATGATGCTGGTGATGTGCTGTGGAATCACCACTATTTGTGGACTCATCTGCAAATCTCTGCTTCCATATATATATATATATGTGTGTGTGTGTGTTTGCTCTAAACATGCCTGTGCAATATACACATATTTTTTCCACGGTTCTTTTCCTGTGCAACTGGGTGCTTACGCGAACATCCGCCTCAAGTCTTGTGACTTGGACGGGCATGCCTCTTTCAGGTGTCTGTTCATGAGGACCTTGTCGTTGACGATGCGGTTCCTCACGCCACATCTGGAGCACTCTGCAGCATTGCCGAGCCGCTGCATGGTGTGAGAGGCATGTCCCTCCCACATCGAAGGCGGAAGAGGTCCGCTGTGGCATACCTGTCCAACGAACTCCTTAAAGGTCTGTTCATTCGACCTTGCTAAAATGTAGCTTTTGCATAGGGAGCAGCGTAAGTACGCTTTGTCTAAGCGCAAGAAGTGCACTCCTGTCTGGGGCTTGTCCTGGCTGTCGATGAGCTGCTTGATCACCTTTCGGGGAGTTCTGGTGATCTTCGATTGGGTTGGATTTTGACATTCCGAACCCATGGCCGTCTTGATCTCCTGGATCATGCTTTTGGTGTGGATCCTGGATTTGCATCGGCAGCAGATGGCCCCTGACCGGTGAACCTCCCATTGATGCCCCCCTCAATCAGGTTCTCGGAGCACGGTGGCAATCAGCTCTCTCTTTTGCTGGAGGAGCGGTGTTTTGACCTCTTGTGTGATCTGGGTGGGCTTCCTCAAGAAGTGATCTGGATCCCTAAGAACCCGATCCACTCGCTCTGCAGCTACCGTGAGGATGTCAGCAAGGTCCTCGTCAGTGGCTTTCTGGTACAACAGGAAGTCCTTGGGAGCCTCAGCCTTCGCTCGCTCTTGCGCAATGCGTTTGATGGCTTTCTGGAGCTGCTTCCTTGTCTTCATGCCTTCTTCCTGCTGCAAGTGAGAAAGGAAAAGAAGCGGCCGAACTTGATCAAAGTCTTCAAACTCCAGTCCCTTGTAAAGGTCAGGGAAACGTTCCAAAGCCACGTGGGGCGTCCATGCTTTCCAGACTTGAAGGTTGGAGATGCCCACATGAGTAGAGTCAAGGAGGCGCATTGCAAGCTGCTTGAGCGCATAGAAGGTGGCTCTGGTTCTAGTGGCCTCACCAGGGCAGATGCCGGAGATGGAGGCAATGCATTCCTTGGTGGCAATCTCAAAGATCCCGATGGCAAAGATGTGCTGCTGATGCCGAATGTCCGCACATGTCGCCGCAATGTCTAAGCAGCGTGCATGGCCGTGATCAATGTGACATGGTTGCAAACTATGCCACTTGCCAGTGCCTTCGAAGGTGGAAGGTCCTCCATGACGCTCCCGAAAGGGGAGCTGAGAGAGACCTCTGGTCCAAATCTCAGGCTCAATGTTCTGGCTGATTCGATCTTTCCATTCGTCAGGTATGTCTTTGACACGTCCCTGCCAATACGAACATTCCCAGATGAGATGGACCAGCTCGACACCACAAAGAGGACATTGACCCGTGAAGCCATGAAGTGTGCCTTGGTGAAATGCTCGCAAGGCACAGGCTAGCCGATCACTCGTAGTGCGCTGTATTTTGTGGCTCATGGTCCAATCCAATGGTTGTTCCAGGTGTTCGCAGCCTTTGTACTTGGTCAACCGAATGAGACGTTGCCATTTGAACTCCTGTTGCAACAACATCATTAACTCTGGCCAGAGCATTTCCATGGAGAGATTGCAATCCGGATAGACCCACACCCGGCCCTTTGCCATTGATGTCCATCCTGTCAAAACCAAGATCCAGCAGGTAGGCTTGCAGCGCCTGTAGTGGGCCTGTGACGACCTGCCATGGGTATTTGGCCTTCCTCAGAGGAGCAAGGGCCAGGTTCCAGCTGGAGTTGAAGAGATGCCTCTTGCTGTCATCAAAGCTGTGGTACAGCTTCCAGATGGTGTGGACATGCTGGAGGATGATGACGTCCCCTGGATCCGGATGCTTCTTGTTCATGTCGAACACGATGTCAACCGAGCCGGACTTCTGGAGTTTGAGGGCTCTGGCTGCCATCACCCGTAGTTGATGTCGTCGTTGTGGGGCTAGCCCGTTAGCCTGAGCCCCCCAGGTCATAACCGGATGGATCGCCCCCCGATGAGCCTGTATCTCACGGATGTGTTCAGCTTGAGTCTGTGCATGATGCCCACTCTGGCTTTTCCTTTGGTTACCCTCTTTCTGACCTGGGGCACCCTTCTTCTTTTCGCAGCTGTGGCATCTATGCCTAGGTCTCTGAAGACATCATAGTGCTCAGGGTCTCCAGGCTGCAAAATGGCCTTCAAAGCTGTGGCGGTCTCTTTGGAGCTCGTGATGAATCCGGTCTTCTCAGTGTTGAGCTTGAGACCAGCTTCGGTGAGGGCTGCATGGAGGCATCTGTACGACTGCAACGCTTCTTGAGCTACATAGGTCGGATCTCTGCCACGAACATCAAAGGACACATCATCCACCCATGTTTGGAGAAGTGCTGCTGGATGTTGGCGTTGGAGTGCAAGAAGTGGTTTGTAAAGCACCAACTTGGCTATTGCAGGTGCTTGAGGACAGCCTTGCAAGATGCCCTTGCGGTAGTGCTGGGCATCAGTGGCGATACTTTCCGCTTGGATGACTCGTGGGCCTCGGTAGAGGTCGATGACCATCTTCAAGTGAAGCAGTGGATATTCGAGCTCCCTTGCTGGCTGGA